TCCCCCTCTCTTCAAATACAAATCAAAAGTAGGACAATAACTAGTGTTCTTTCATGTATATATGGTACCTTGGCCTGGATTTAATAGTGTTTGTATCGCAGTACTTTGGATAAATGATCTACTGTGTGTAGTTTAGTTAGTATTCTGCAGTTCTTCAGTTTCTCCTACTGAGTAGCACTAGAGATCTGGAATATTTCTAACTCTGCAACCACTGGTAATCTTACACTTCCTCATACTAGACTAGCTTTATGAGAAGGCCAGGTGGAGAAGTAGAAAAGGTAGTTGTGGCTTCCTCCTTGCTGGTGCTCACAGTTTCAAATACATTGAATACTTACCAGGACATTTCCAAATGATTATTTATTTTAACACAAAAACTGCATTCTATTAGATATTTTTGGTTTGGGGAAAGTTGATCTCAAACAGGATTTTAAGTTTGTTTTTTTCTTTAAGTTTTTATTTTTATTATTTAAATTTCTGCCTCTGAAAAGAAAAACACGTTATCACACAGAAAAGTAAAAATTACTTGCTGAGAAATTGACATTACTTCTAGAACCAGATGTACTTCTTCATATTGATAGAGAAGGAAATTGCAAAGGAGATATTTAGCTTCCTGTGTAAAGGACAGTGGCTTGTGGGTGAATGAACTGGGAATAAAGAATATTTCAAAGATTTATATTATTGAGTATTAAACATTACAACCAATTGGGCCAGGGAAATAGCTCAGTGGTTCCCAAGAAAAGGCAACACATTTAAGTTTTTGTGTTAAAAGTAACAAAAGTCATGTATTTCAATTAAGAATTTTTAAAGAAAAATTACAGGCTATATTAAAATAAAAATTTATGTTTAGTTACAACAGGTAAATCACAATTTCAAGGGAAAATACTACAATTTTGTCTGCCTCATTTTCCTTTGCTGTGTTGTTGTTTAGGCGGAATACTCCTTACAAAACCCTGGAGCCTGTTAAACCGCCCACGGTTCCCAACGATTACATGACCAGTCCTGCGAGGCTTGGGAGTCAGCACAGTCCGGGCAGGACAGCTTCTTTAACTCAGAGACCGAGGACACACAGGTAAGCCTTCGTGTTGGATATCTGAGTGTTTCCCAGGTTTGGTGCCTGAAGCTGACTCCTGTAAAAGGTGCTGGGGACAAATTGTTACTATTTTCTCCTTTGACAGACAGATGAATGAATATATTTGGATTCATGCTAAAGAATATTTTAAAAATGGTCTTTCAAAAAGACACCAGGTGGGGCTGCGAGCTCTGGCTCGGTGGCCGGTTGTCTGCTAGCGTGCAGGGGTTTCCGAGTTCCGCATCTCCCCTTCAGTAGAGCCAAGATGAGTCATACAGCATGACTTAAACTCAGCAGGTCAAGGAAAAGATGCAGCTTATTTCTGAGGAAATATTCTTTGGAGAGTTAATAGAGTATATTATTGTATATATTTTTATAAATTACAAGGATTTAGCTGTTCAGTGCATCTTTAAAAACTGAGGTATAGAGTATAACATATATTCAGAAAGGTATCAAGCATGACAGATTCAGATTGAACTCTCATGTAACCATCACCTGAATCAGAAAATGGAGAATTACCAGTGACCCAGGAGTCTGCCTCTTGCTGTTTTCTAATTATTGCCTCTGTTTTCTTCTGTATGAAGTAGCCACTTCAGTGTTTAAATGCTTTTATAGTGCCAGGAAAATTTATGATATAATCAAATTTGTTTTTATCTTCAGTTTTATTTCTCAATAACTTGGGCAAAGAACTTTTATATTGGCAAATTAGAGCTAATTATCAAAAATTATTTTTGGTGATTCAACTAAATAGGGCATATAGAGTTGTTAGACTCTGGGTAATTGTTATTGTTGTTAAATACACTGTTATGGTGATATCTGCAGATACCGTATCAGGTTAAGTTCAGGGTGTACCAAAATTATTCTGTTTTTGTATTTGTAGGTATTGAATTGCCAATAAGTCAAAGTATTGTATTCTCTTTTTTTAGTGTTTGGTACCAGGGACCAAACTCCAGACCTGGTCCTTGAGAGGCAGGCACAGTGCCACTGAGCTAAATCCCCAGCCCCCTAGTAATAACAGTTTAGTCATACTAGCAACCAGTTATTAAAAGTTACTTTATTAGCTACCAGGTATATAGCAAGAAGGGATAGTTGATGTTTTTCAAGAGATCATTCTGTTAGGACAGGGGTCAACAAATTTTTTTCTAGAAATTGCCAGGTTGTCCGTATTTTAGGATTTGCAGGCCACATGGTCTGTTGCAGTTACTCGGTTCTGTCAGTATAGTACAAAACCAACTATAGACAACATGTAAATGAATAAGCATGGCTGTATTCCAGTGAAACTTTATTTATGGCAGTGAAATTTGAATTTCATAAAATGTGTTGCACAGTATTATTCTTTTGATTTTTTTCCTATTCAAATATGTAAAACTGTTCTTAGCTCACAGACAGTTATCAGGCAGTGGGCCAGTGTTTTTCTTTTTCTTTTTTTTTTTTTTAGGGGAAGACAGGGTCTCACTCTAATTCAGGCCTTGAACTCTGGTCCTCCTGCCTCAGCCTCCCAAGTGCTGGGATTACAGGCATGTGCCACAACACCCAGCTCTGAGGTTTTAAATGTTGATTTTGTATCTTGCTGCTTTGCCGAGTTTTTTAGATGTAATAGCCCCTTGGTGGAATCATTAGGATCTTCTAAATGAGTATAGGTTCATATTATCAGAAAAAGGGATAGTTTGACAGTTCCCTTTTTAATTTGTATCCCTTTTATTTCTTTCTGTCGCCTCATTACTCGAGCTAAAATTTCAAGGACTGTGTTGATAGGATTCCTAAGAGTGGGCATCCCTTTCTTGTTCCTAATTTTAGGGAAAATGTTTTCAGTTTTTCCCCATCCACTACTATGTTGGCTATGAATTTGTCATATGTAGCTTTTATTAGGTTGAGGAATGACGTTTTTATTTTTAGCTTTTTATTATATAGAAATAAATTTTGTTTTATGTTTATTTGGTTGAGATGTTGAGAAGTAGAGTGAAATACAAGAGCCACTTCACGTATGAGGGTAAAGGCTGGTAATTCTTTAAAATGGTCAGCGTGCACATGCACGCACCACGCACCATACAAGGAGTGGTTCGAGGCCTTGGGTTGGTTTTTATAATTTAAAAAATCCCTAACGTCGCCTCCTCACGCATGTTCCTTCGTGTGCAGTGGCAGCAGCGGGGGGAGTGGAAGTCGCGAGAACAGCGGAAGCAGCAGCGCCGGCGCCCCCATCGCAGTACCCACGCCTTCCCCACCCACTGCCGGGCCAGGTGCGTCATTTATTAACCTGTGCTTCCGTGGGGAGAGATGGATGAGTGTTAGGTACTGTAAAGGGTGATGTAATTTAGTCATATTGGGTAAAGCCGTTATTTGTGATTACGGTTAAAGGTTAGTAACAATATTTATAGATTGATTTATAGATTAGACTTTGCAGCTCTTTTCTCCGTATGTACAGTACTTGTGTCATAGCTTTGTTAAATAACTTGCTGGCCGTTTTGCTTTAGAAGTACTTGTCTTGCCAGGAGGCAGGAGTGACACTCATCCCTCCAACAGCAGGGCGGTGTTGGAAGCTATGGCAGGCACGTCATGTCTCAGAGTGCAGACGGCGCCTTGCAGGCCGGCGCTCCAGTGGTGGGGCTTGCTTGTCGTGCGACTTCTCACTTAGGAGAGCAGGACTTCAGTCGCGCACACTGATGTGCAGTGAGACCCAAGTGGGAAAAGTCCTTTTACTTTCTATAAAGTATACAAATTGAGATATCTGTGACAAGTATTAGCCCCTGATTTTTTGTAAATGAAATGCAAACTTTCTATAGTGTTAAGATGCATAGTTAAAAATAAAGTATGATAATGAAAACTGTTAGGAAAAGAAATTCTGTTTCTCAAGCATATTGTTGTAGGAGAAAAAGCTACTAATAAAAGCAGACATATTTTCTAGTTAATGAAGTTATAAGCTCAGTGGCACTTCTACCTAATGCTTTACATGTGGGTTTCCTTTCTTTTTTTCTTCTTTCCCACACATTGTATTTTCCTGCTGTCCCAGAATGCTTAGCTCTTTTGTTGCACTCTGACCTGAATTATAAACTGTTTTATTAGAAAACATTTGTGCCCCCCCTCCTGGAGCTCCACCAGCACCACCTCTGCCAGCCCTCCTCCCCGTGAGCACGGTGATAGGTGAGACTGCACCCCAGCGGAGCCGTTGGCATTTCTGTGCATGGTTCATGACAGTGCTCCTCTGTAGCTGATAGACTGCTGGCTTTTATAGTTATTAGGGTGTAGATGATAATAACCGTGGTTAAAATATTAATTTACACTAATTTCTCCTGGTGAAAGTCCTCTGAGCTTACATAGTATAAACAACTGTGAAATAACCTTTTCTGTAATATGAAATGTTTCTTTGTGTGGTTTATAACCAACTAAATGTGTTTTTTTTGCTTGTTTGTTTAGATTTTTGTAGCAGTGACCATTCACATTTTTAAAAAAGCAGTATAATCCCCTCACCTGTGGTGAGACTTGATTCTGAACTCCCTGGCATAAATAGCATTGAAACCTTGGGGTGACGGTGGGGACTGGAGCAGGAGGAGAGAGAGGAAAATCATGTGTGATGGGGCTCTGATGCTGTCCTGCAGTTTATACTCTGAAAAACTCTGATGCAGCCCAGTTTTTATGATCTAAAGAATGTCAGGCAAGTTTTTTCAGTGAAACACATTTGAATTTTCCCCATGTTGGGGAGGACATGACTGAGGACAGAAGTAGCTCCATGTGTACAATTGGCACAAAAGCCGTGCAGCCTAGCAGTAAATAGCAGCAGTGTGTGTGGACAGGGAAGGAGGTCGAGTGAGAGTGAGAGCCGAGTTTCAGCTGAGAGGAGAATAAAGCTGCCCAGCAACACCATCCAAAGCATTGATGCGTACCTGCAAAGAAAGGGCAGAGGGGATCACAGATGCAGGAGTTGTTGATGGATGCTAATATGAAAATAGAATACATTCAGCCTAATCAGTGATTGGGGACTTTAAAATTAAAACCACGGTGAAATTCTGTTTTCTGTCTACTCCATAGGTAGAGATGTAGACGTCCACTTTTGCATTGTTGATGAGGATGGGTGGCCACAGGAAAGCACAGAGCTGCTGGGAGTCTTTTTGTAAAATAATTTCTTACCTAGTCAAGTTGAAGTTGTACCTATCCTAGGCTTCTCAGTTTCATTTCTAGATTTTCACCTTTGAGCACTAGTTCTCACAGTATGGTTAAGGGACTCCTAAAGGTTGCCAGGATCCTTTCATATAGTTTGAGGTAAAAACTGTATTCATTATTTATCTTCTTCATTCTTATTCTGCTAGAAACATACAGTGGAATTTTCCAGAGGCTACAAGACATTGCTTTGATAGGTAATAGAATATGTACTTGTGTATACATGCATTTCACAAATAAATCATTTTTAGTTTTTCATGTAATTATCTGCAGCTGTAACCCATACCAGCAAAAGCATTTTCAGGTCGTTTGGGGGAGAGGAGGGTTTTTCGTTTGTTTCGTTTGAGACTGGGTCCTCATATGTAGTTCAGTCTGGCCTCAAACTCATGGTTATCCTCCTGCCTTCCGAGTGCTGGGACAACAGGCATGTGTCACCATGTCCAGCTCCTGAGGTTTTTTAATTTCTAAGCATGGACCCTAAAACCAGAAAGTTTGGAAAACCCGTTTTAGAGCACTGGCTTTCAGAGTGACATTCCCAGATTATCAGCATCCAGGAACTGGATAGAAATGTAAGCTTCCAGATCCCATTTCATTCCAGACCTACTCAGTTAAAAACTCTGAAGATGGGGCCCAGGAATGTGTCTTATAAAAAACACTGGTGGTAAGATGCTGATCAGGAAACCATATGTAACAACAGTCATAGCAGCAATAGTAGCATAATGGCACAAATCTGGAGGCAACCAAAACATCACACAGCAGTAGAATAAATAAATTGTTGTATATTCACATGCAAAGAGCAGCAGAAGTTGAATCTTAAAAAAGTATCAAGGGAAGAGCAATTCATCGATACTGGTACACACAGATTCATTCCATTGTAAAAGTTTATACATTTGTAAAAACTATATATTTAAGTTAATTACAGTATATGTGGTAAAAACTGTATAGGAAAGAATGTTTTAACACCCGTTGGGATTGGAAATTCAGGAGAGAGGCACATAGCAAGCTTCAGTGATACTGTTAATACTCTTTCTTGGGCAGGATTCTTGCCTTAAAGACACACAGATTCATTCCATTGTAAAAGTTTATACATTTGTAAAAACTATATATTTAAGTTAATTACAGTATATGTGGTAAAAACTGTATAGGAAAGAATGTTTTAACACCCGTTGGGATTGGAAATTCAGGAGAGAGGCACATAGCAAGCTTCAGTGATACTGTTAATACTCTTTCTTGGGCAGGATTCTTGCCTTAAAGACACAATTTATATACACATACATATATGTATGGGAACATGAATGTTATGTGTGTGTGTGTGTGTGTGTGTCTGTGTGTGTGTGAATATATATTTTCCTTAAAGACACAATTTATATACACATACATATATGTATGGGAACATGAATGTTATGTGTGTGTGTGTGTGTGTGTGTCTGTGTGTGTGTGAATATATATATTTCATTCCTTAGTTCAGTGCACAGTTATTGAAATTGCTACTCTATTCCTACACTTTAACCTCATCCTAACCCTAACCTCAAACCAAACACTACCCATCATAGCTACACTGCAATGCTAAGGAACTTGGAATCCGACACTGTACCTCACCCTCATAAAAATCCATGCCATACACTTCATTCTCACTCTCCAGTTCTTAGGTAGGAGACTTCCATCCATGTCTTTATCTCCAGAGGTAATCCTGACACTCCCATGCATAGCTATACTACAGTGCTTAGTTGGAATCCAGCACTCTTCACACTCGCAAATACATGTATATATATGAATGATCATATGTCAGTCGTATACCTTTGGTGTATGATTTACTTCATAGTAAAATGTTTAAGTAAATAAAATAGGCATAGTTTAGAACTGCTACACAATTGGTTTTCAGTTTTGAATCAAGAAGAATTACTGACATTATACACTTTTTATACAAGTCAGAGAAGTAGAAAAGATATTTTACCGCTATCTATTAGAAATAGCTAAAGATTTACTTAATAGCTCTCTTGTCTTGGAAAACCTATCTGTCCACAATTCTTATGCATGAAGACTTTTACAGAAGCTTGTATTTTAATGTGTTTCTACTTAGAATATTAGTATGTATGTACATGATTCAAATTATTGACAACTGGCTATGGCTTGGGAGTTAACTTCCTGCTTACTCTCCTAATGCACAACTGTGGTACTATCCCTGAGACAGGTGAAGGAAGATAAGCTAGGATGGTTCTTAATGTACTTGGTGGTAAAGGAGGATAATGTCAGTTCTGTTAACTTAAGATGTTTTAATTCTGTTAATCCTTTAAATATGAAACTTTTTCAAATGTTGATAAAGATGATACTATGCTTTGATTCAGTTTAGATATTATTTCTTTAAGCATTAATCTTTAAAAAATTACTTTGAACATAAGAAAGGAAAACAAAAGTCTCCTTAGGAGAAAGAATAGGTTGTCTAAGCACAGCTGCATAAAAATGCTTTATTTTATAGAATCCAAAAAATTTTCCAAAATGGTTTTGTCAGTTACCCCCCAAAATGGAAAAACCTGCTAATCTTACACAATAAATATAAGTATTTTGAAACTAGAATGTATATTTTACTTTAAAATTGTTTTACTATCATATGTATTGATACTAGTATCTACCAATGCATTAAAAATTATAATACTATTAAATATGGAAAGTAGGCTTAACAGTTTATATTAATATAGCCAGACTTTATTGTGCATTAAAACTAAAGATTTTGACAATGGAGAGGAAGACGTTTTTAAACCAGGTTTGAATACATTGGAAAACTTAGATTTTTGCACCGTACATTATGGTGTTTGCAGAGCCAGTTTGCCTGTAAAACCTGTGTGCAATCACCATCATTATCATGGAGCCTGTCCAGTACCCGCAGAGATACCCAAACCCACACTTGAGTGCCTTATACGAAAGGCGTTCTATTTTTATATCATCTATACACTCCCGTGGTGTAATTTAAATCTAGATTACTCATCAAACTTATTGTAATGTAGATGCTGTGCATAGTTGATACAATGTGTTGTTCAGGGAATAAGGACATGGAAAACGTCTAAATGTTCAGTATGGATTCTGTTTTTGGTGGGTTTTTTTTTTTGAATATTTTTATTAGGTTGGATGGATCCGTAGACATGCAGCCTATGGCCACAGAGAGCCAACTGTAAAATGCACAGATACTATATGTAGCATTGCAAAATGCACAAAAATTACATGTAGCATTACCAAAACACCAGTTGGGGTTATGCTGTTTTTTGAAGGGATTACATGTTGGCTTTTTTAGCTTTCCAAGTACTAGCTGGTTTTGTTTTCTTTTAACTTGAGGTAACCTGATTTTTATCTTTCTTTGTCTCTTTATTTTGTGGTGGACTTTACAAAGTAATAAATGCTTTGAGAATCTCCACTCTGATCTGTCACCTGTGGTGATTATAAATGCTTAAGTCTCTCTGTCGGTTGCCTTTAACTGATGCTTCCCAGCAGCCCCTGGCTCAGCTCCTGGTTCCCAGTATGGCACAATGACCAGGCAGATATCTCGGCACAACTCTACCACTTCTTCGACATCTTCTGGTGGATACAGACGAACTCCCTCTGTGACGGCTCAGTTTTCTGCTCAGCCTCATGTTAATGGAGGTCCACTTTATTCTCAAAATTCAAGTAAGCTTGTGTTTTGCAGGCATACAGCAACAGTGGAGCTCCTTGTGAAGGAAATTATTTGAAACTATTACTCTTGCCAGTGATAGACAGCAATTAAAGCCATGCTGTTGCATGTTTATTTTTGTTTAGAACTTCAGTCCTTGAATCATAACATTAAAAAAATTCTTCTTGAGACAAGGTCTTGCTCTGTAGTTCAGACTAGCCATGAATTCACCATGTAGTCCAGGCAGGCCTTGGACTTGCAGCAATCCTTCCTGCGTCAGCCTGTGTAGTACTGGGACTACAAGACTGTGCCACCATGCCCAGCCCGAAGAGTAATTGCTGGGCCTGAATTTAGCTCAGTGGCACTGTACCTGCCTTGCAAACACAAGTTCCTGAGTCCGATCCCTGGTACCAGAAGGAGAAAAAAAAAAAAGTTATTGCTTGTGATTTGTCCAAAATTCAGACTTACTGAATATACTTAGTATAGTAAAACTTAACTGACGTTGTAATATGCTATTTCATTACAACAGTACCACTGGGAAACAAAAATCACTGAAATAAGTGAATTTATTTTTATTGGCATGCTGTGATAGTTTGGTGGAATGGTAAAATTAAAGATAAATAGTATGAAAATTTACCTTTAAAATAATAAACTGAAATTGCTGGCTATCACTTTTAAGTCCATTAGCTTTCACTGTAATGAGTTCGAAACCAATTAAAAACATTAGTGATGCTTGCTTAATTACTATCTTTGAATAATTCTAACAGTGGGAAGGATTTTCTTTTGATTTCTTTCTGTTCACCTAAAACTGCACATCTCAATACTAATTGCAGTCAGTGTTGAAAGCTGATGAGAAAATATTTTTAGCATATAATAGGGAGTTGAGTAGCTAAGGGCAGTCATTAAGTTCAGTTTCCATGTTAAGATGCTTAATGCAAAAGGAAAAAAGGAAAATGAACTTCTTGTCCAGTATTTGTCATTGGCTCGGGGTTGTGGTTGCCAGGCAGAGATTAAAGTAGGCTTTCCCATGTAGCTTTTGTGTGGCTTTGTAGAGCTGCATCCTGTTATTTTTCTTACGAACCACTGAGTACTTCCACTGTTTGCATCGGAGGTTGGTTTAAGTTTTTTTTTTTTTAATTTATAATATATGACCTGAGTACATATTTTAAGCAGAGATAGGGAAAATTGTTTTATTCATTTAAATTTTAAGTTAAAAATTCATTGTTTTATAGCAAAAACTCATAAAAATTGAAAACTACATTAGTGGAAGTGTCAAAATACAAAGATCCCAAATATATACCACCTTTTTCAAACTAAAATTTTCCTTCAAGCTACTAAGAAGTTTTAAACTTTACCCAATAGAATTTTGCCTCACATTTCTCCTGGCCTTTGATTTTCAAGGTAGCTAGCATCTGAATATTCCACAAATTAATAATTTACCTCACAGTTTTATGAACTTTTCATTTTTTTCATGTTGTACATTTTTAGATGTCATCTTTATTTTATGTTCATTATTTTCCTTTTCCCCACTTAGATAAAAGTTACTTCACCAGTAGGGTTATTTCACCCAATATATGTGTATGTAGTTTTAGCAATACTTTAGTTATTTGCGAAGAAGACACTTTTCATTAGTAAATGACTACATTCTTTGAAATATCGGAAAGCAAACTTGGCCTCAAATTTTAAATATATTGTTTTGTCTAGTTACCCTTCAATATGAGTTACTGTTGGCATTGTAGTTTTAGTAGTATGTAAATGTTTTAGTGTTTTGATGTGCATACTTTCCCTTTTGTCTAAGTGTGATGCTAATTATTAGTATCTCCACAGCATTTTGTTTTTCTTTACATACTAACCAGCATGGCTAGTAACCAAAGGTGGTTTCTTTTAAAAAGATTTAGGCTTCTGGGAATTATTTTTTAAAAATCAACACCTTAAACTTGTATTTACCAGAGTAAATAAGACCAATTTCTTAGTGAATTGATTATTTTTAACCATAGAATAAAAGTGCACATATGCTGCTTTAAGTTGTTGCTTCTTGGAACCCTGAACTTCTTTCAAGTTTTTATGCTTACCACCAAAACCATCTACTGGATTAATTAAACAACTTTCTATAGAATGATTCTTGAAAACCAGTACCGTCACTTATTGGTGACTACTGGTAAACTGAATATTGCCATCTGGTCTTAATTTTTCCGAGTCATCTTTGGCAATTACTATCTTATTAAAAGGAGAAAAAGTAGTAAATATATGATGTTTATTTCTAATTTATATTACAGTTTTAAAAACACTGGCTGTCCAGATAAGCATTTGCCATGGGTTTCCTATAAATTATGTTCTTTCCTTGAAGAAGTCTGAATATGTTTCCAGCTAGCCAGTGATATTAGAAATTAATGCAAATTAACTGCACATTTTAATTTACTCATCAGGTTTCCTTTTTTTCAAAACAGTGGTAAAAAGGTCATCCTTGTGATACCTGATTCCATGAAACTCTCAATAATTAACATGGAATATGGAGCATTCTTACTCATTAGCAATATCTTTAAAAATAAAACTGCCAATTTAAAACATAATCATGTTTTGCTAATGAGCGGTTCTACTGGAAAGCTGTGTGTAAATCTAAATACATAATACGAACTATTACTTAAAAGGAAACCTGATTAATATATTTATTTGTACATATTTTATTTGTTTTATTTATTTTGGTTCTACTTTACAACAAAAGCTAGACAAAGCTGTTACTTTATAGTCACAACAAAAATAAAGCATTCTGGAAACCTCTGTAGGTATCTCATTGTTACGTATTTTGGAAGTCTTTTTTAGAATTTGAAAATTGCATTGCACTAAATTGAGTATAATGGTGATTTTAAAATTTCCCCAAATAATATGACATTAGGATTAAATTAAGGGTATTTGTTCTTTTATGCATTGAGCCAGCTGGCTTAAGCACACCTGACTTTAGGTTTGCTTGGGGAACATGAACTTGAAGAAAGTTCTTCAGGATTTGTTTTGTTTTTTGTTTTGTTTTGTTTTGTTTCATTTGCAGACTGTTCTTTGCATACTCATGTTTGTGGTCCTTGTAACTGACTTCTGCTTTTTGTTTGTTTCCTTTTCTTTCCTTTATCTGTTTCACTTCCCCCATACTGTGTTGTTGCCACCAGTTTCTATTGCTCCACCCCCACCCCCTATGCCTCAGTTGACTCCACAGATACCTCTCACAGGCTTCGTGGCCAGGGTGCAGGAAAACAGTAAGTTCGGGCAAACTGAGCTATGGAAGGATAGGGGCTGTCTCCTTAGAGCATGCATGGTGATGAGTCATCGTCTTTCTTCTGTTGAGAAGCTAATCTTAACTGAAAATAAGTGCAGATATGTTATTGAAACTGGAGAGCACGGTCTTCAGCTTTTCTCTGTGTGCATGATACTGACCCTGTGCGTTTCTTAAGTATACACATGATCTGAAACCTAAGATCTGACCTTTGCATAATATATATTGTATGGAAATTTCTACTTGTAAGTTATAAGAGAATTAGAAAACATTTTCTCTTCTAACACATTTATCAAGATAGAATCACATTTTGAGATTAAATTTATTAGGAAACTGGTGGATTTTCCCCCTGCAATTATTTTTTAAAATTTAGGGGAAAATATGTGGCCTCAAATCTGTATATATAAATGATTTTGAACCCAGAGAAAGGTCCACTGTTAAGAATAACTCTGTAATAAGTAACTTACATTCATGCGTTCTGTTTCATAGTGAGTGATAAGGAATGTAGGCCTGACTTCGTATTTTGGCTACACTTTATTTCTCAATATGTAAATCTGTCAGCTTTTTTAGGTCATCTCTGACTGAAGATCAGATTTAATGATTTTTGTCACTTGTTTAAGGCTTTACTTAGGACAGACTAGTTTATATAACTGCCTGATTAATTCTGAGGTTCCAGAAGATACATAATCCTACCTTCATGATCACAGTGAATGTTGGATAGTGAAAAGAAAAATACTGAATTGTGTTAATGCCAAAAAACACTGCTGAGCCGGGCATGGTGGTGCACGCCTGTAATCCCAGCACTCGGGAGGCTGAGGCACGAGGATCGCTGTGAGTTCGAGACCAGCTTGGGCTGCATAGTGAGTTCCAGGTCAGTCTCAACTACATAGTGAGACCCTGTCTCAAAAAAAGGAAACAAAACAAAACAAAAAACCTGCTGAAATGAAAATGGAACAGTGGCCTAGTTCTAATTTGGGACCTGTCCATTAAGTTTCAGAACAGTTTGAGCACATGGGTCACATCTGTGACCAGCCTTTCAGAACACGTTGTGGCAGCTTTTGCTGCTCTGTTGTGTTCTTCCCATTCTTTCCCTTTTATAAGTCAAGTATTCATTTATTCAGTGTTAGGTGCTAGGCTCTGGGAAGAACACAGATAGTTAAGGCAGAGTCCTTGCCTTCAGGAAGTGATATCTCTGGATTTCTTATAAAACACTGTAGTTTCAAAATGTTAAAATTTCAGTGTGTAACCCTTTCTTACTAAGTATTAACTGCTACTTGAAAACACTTCTCCTCAAACATTTAAAAATAAGTGACTTATATTTTAAAAATAAGGAATTAGGGTAAAAACTAAGCCACAAGCCACTTCAGCTTATTGAATTGCTGCATTGTTAAGACTTATTAGGAGATAATTTAAAATAGCCATAATTGACAGGGGTATTATGGGGCCAGGGTCATAGACTATGTGGTAACTTGTTTGAATAAAGATCCAGTATTCATGTACATTATTCCAAGCATCGATGCTCACTGCTAAAAGGCCCTCGATGCAACTATTTCAGTTATTTTTACCAAACATATGAATTTGAGTAAGTTATTATTTACATCACAAATTCTCCAAGTTTATTTGGCATGTATTTTCATGGAAATCAAGTTAAGAAAGTTGAGAATAAACTTTGTCGGCACTTGAAGTGGTTTTTGAAGAACAAAGTTTCTGTCTTCAAGATAGCCACTTTCTTTGGGTCTCAAAGGGGGTGATATAAATGCATGTAGTGTTTAACTTACTAATTTATTATGAATAAGTGTTTTGGTTTAAAATGAGCCCCCTAAGTCAGCAACATGTTAACATTCCTTTATAATTAATATCAGAAAGCCTTTGTAAATTAAATTTGCATAGTGCTATATGTAGCATTATGCAGAGCAACAGATTGACAAAACTCCTGCCATAATGTAAAAATAAGCTATTGTTGATTTATAATATTTGGACATAAAGACATTTGTGTGAAAACAGTGAGCTAGTTAAGTTGTATATAAATCAAGAGCGGTGGCAGTGTAGGCAAATATGTGTGATTTACCTATTAAGCCAAGTTAAGGACACGAGCTGTGGCTATTTGACACGGGGATGGATTCATGCACATTTTTGTTTCTTCAGTATTACAAACGTATGGGCAGGGCCGGGGAATTAGCTCAGTTGGTGCCGCCTGCCTCTCAAGCGCAAGGTCCTAAGTTCGATCCCCGGTAACAAAAACAAACAAACAAAAAAGTAAGTCGGTAGGTAGGTATGGGCAAAGGATAAAATGAGTACGTTCCTGTTGTAGAAAAATAAACTGCACATCTCTTGGGCAGCTATTGGAGTGAATGCCACCACCCAGACTTTGTCTTTAATCACCCTTTTATCCCCCAGAGAGTTATGGAAGTAGGCCTGTTATTTGCAAATGTTTAAAGTCTGAACCTCTTGGTTAGAATTTTAGCACAGTCTTCCAAGTCGGGTGAAGTCAAATTTAAAAACCTGTATCATTTTGTATACATTTTTTTCATTTAGTTTTTGAACTTTTAAAGAAATATGTAGGTCAGAAATGTAAGCATTATTTGTATTTCAAATTCCTTAATATCGGGGCACTTATTACTTAGTATCATTTAATAGTTCAGCCAAAACAATTCATTGCTTTCCCATTTCACTGTGAACACTTTGGTTTACTTAAAAGCACAAATACACATTTACCACGGCCATTCAGAATTTGAAGTATGACTCATTGTTTTGTTTAATGTTAAAGTTCTTTTTTGTTTTTTATTATTACATTTTCCCTCCACACTTTATGTTTAAATCTTAATTGTGCTTGTATTCTTAGAAAAGTGGATCCTTGTTTAGGATGTAGTCTTTCCCTCATCTCATGCTTCTGTTTTACTAGCAGTAATGCAAAATCTTCGCAGGGCTGGGGATTTAGCTCAGCGGTTCAGTGCCTGCCTTGCAAGCACAAGGACCCGAGTTCAATCCCCAGAACCAAAAAATAAAAAATAAAATAAAATAAAAATCTTCGCTTTTCCCTATTAAAAATTATGAATATAAATAAATATCTAAAAATACTCAGATTTTTCTACTAGCTGGAAATTTTAATTTTTCTTGTTAAATTTAAATAGTATAGTAGGAAATCTAAATACAGAAGCAGAACTGACACTACCAACTTTGTTTCAGTTATTACAAACAATAACAATATGCCCACTTGAGACTTCAGTTTTCTAGGTCACTGAAACTAGTAGCAGGCCAAAACCAGGAGCGTGAGTGAATTCAACAAAAAGCTGTCAGATGGTTAATGTAGTAACATTTACTATAGTTCAGATACAAATATGAATAAGCTTTTATTTTAGGCAGCTAGCTAGACTTAAAGAGTGACATTTTTCTTGACTTGAACTTTGGAATAAGAAAACTTCTATAATCTTTATAAAGAGACATTGTTTCCTTTCCTAACCCCTTGCATTCATTGATTTTTAGTATTTCTTGATATTCTTATTTAGCCATTTTAATATTGCAGTATTATAAGTAGCATAAACTTTAACACACCAGACTTATTTCTGATAATTGCATGTTTTACTGTAGTGCATGCTGTGTAGAAGTTGTTTCATTACATTCTGTTGATCTGTACATCTCCATGTAGACTAATTTCTGATCCATATTGTCTAAATCGTTTCAG